AACAGGCCTGTCTTTCTGCCTGATGGGGAAGGCAGGCATTAAATGGCTACAAATAAGTAAATTACAAGAGTGGAAAATGCTTTAAGATGAGTTCCAGGGCATTACTGGATGTTGTAATGGGAGGCCCCTCTGGTCTGAGGGTCAGAAGGTGAAGTTCATCTCACACAGGTGAAGTTTAGGGTGAGATCTGAAGGATCAGTTGGATTTGCCAGAAGAAGAGGGGGTAGAGGGCTTTTCTGACAGAGAAACAGCCCTCAGGACAGCTCTGAGGAAGGTGGAGGAGACAATGAATAATCAGGGACCAGAAATGCCTGGTGGCACCAGTTGAGAGTGTGGATACAGGCCACATCATGAGGAGCCTGGTATCCATGCTATAGAACACAGACTCATTCACAGGGCAGGGGGAGGTCATTGAAAAGATTTTAGCAGGGGAGTGAAATGATTAGATTTATCTTTAACTTTCAGTTCCAGTTGGGTTGTTGTGAGAAGCAGGGTTGGAATGGTGGGGGATGGATAGAGGGCCAACCGCAGAGACCAGTTAGGTAGTTACAGCAATTGTCCAGGTAAGAGATGGCTGTGGCCTTGGCTGAGGGGTATGAGTGAGGATGGGAGAAGTGGATTGATCCAGAATGTATTTAGCAGAGGAATTAATAGAACTTAGTTATGATGCCTATCCATCTCTTTCTAAACATCAGTCATCATCATCATCATCATCACTATCATCACTGCAGCCATTTATGGAGTCCTACTATGTGCCAGGCACCATACACATCTTTTCTCATTTAATCTGCACAGTAGCACTGTGAATTTCTGCATTTCAGTGGTATTTTCTCCACCTGTTAGATGCTCACACTGAGTATTTCCTGTGGAAAGTATAGGTTGCTGCCCCTCCAACCCCTGGCTGTTTTCTGGCCTTGCACATTTAGCTCCCCTGCCATAGAAGCCATTGTGATAAAACCTGCTGCTGGTAGCCTTCTGAGAAAAACTGGAACAGTGAGAAGGAGCTGACCTAGGCTAGAGTTCCCCAGCAGAGTTCACATGGTGCCTCCACCCTTGTTCTCCAGACATTTTCCTTGCTGCCAGTAATGCAATAATTTTCATTTTTTGCATAAATCAAGCCACAATCTGCTTGTTTAGGTTAAGAAACAATCTTTTTTTAAAGGTACATTACCATGGGAGGGTTCAGTGGCTCTTGAATGGTAGGTCATTTCTATCTTAGTGTGGAACAATTCAGTGTTTTCTTTCTTCCTAATGCCTAAATGAAAACAATGGTACCTGAGGCCATATGATTTATTTTTTCCTAATCTGTACTGTCTACTTAAGTATCTTCACAGGGGGGAAAACTCCTGAACTTAAAATACTAGCTCTCTGCATCAATCAGACTCTTTTGATTTTCTGTGGGGACATCCATACTTTTTTTGTATAAGGGAGATTAGAGATAACCAGATTCTAATTTGTGTCAGGCTGTTGGCAGTCTGTCCATGTACTGACTGGCCCTGGAATGTTGATTAGGTTCAGAGAGAGCAGCTCTCTGCAGAGCTGGGCATTTGGGAGTTGGGTTAACTACTTTGTTCTTCTCCAGACTTCTAGCCTCTCTGGCTTCATTTCCTGCTCTGTCTTGTGGACAATCCAGCAAAAAAATTTGTTTTTTCTTCTGATTATTCAAGCAGTACATGCTAATCAATGAAAGGCTGTAGAAACACCACCAATGTGGAGCCCACCCCCACCAGATTTGTAGAGAGCTCCTTACCCAGGCACCCAGCCCCTTTTGTCAAAGCTCCACCTTGCTAGCGAAGCTCTGTACTCTGCCATATCTAACCTATATTGTCACCTCTTCCTCCTTACATGCTTTCCCATTAGCTTTATATAACTTTAAGTTTCTCCTATGTCCTAAAAACCAAAACAGAAACCTCCCTTAGCCCCTTGCCTGCCCATAGCAACTACCCCATTTTTCTTGTCCCCCTTCATAACTAGACTTTCAAAAATAATTGTATGTATTTATCCATGTAGTTACTATTTCCAGTGCTCTTCATTCTTTTGTGTGGATCCATGTTCCATTTGGTATCATTTTTCTTCTGCCTGAAGGAGTTCCCTTAAAATTCTTGTCATGTGAGTCTGCTGGTGATGAATTCTTTCACCTTCTGTATGTCTGAAAACGTATTTATTTTGCCTTTGTTTTTGAAAGATATTTTTGCTGGGTATAGAATTCTAATTTTATAATTTTTTTCTTTTCAGTACTTTAAAGTTATTATTTCTTCAAATACTTTTTCTGTCCCCCCTACTACTTACTGTCTTTCAGAACCTCCAATTGTCTGTACATTAGGCCACTTGAAGTTGTCACACAGCTCACTGATGCTCTTAATTAATTTTTTGGATACTTATTTTCATTGTATGTTTAATTTGGTAGGTTCTATTGCTATGTCTTTAAGTTCACTACTCTTTCCATCTGCAATGTCTAATCTGAAATTAGTCCCATCCAGTGTAGTTTTCATTTCAGGCATTGTAGTTGTAATCACTAGAATTACAATTTAAAAAAATTATCTTATGTTTCTGCCCGAGCCTGTTTGGCTCAGTGGTTAGAGTGTCAGCCTGAGCACTGAAGGGTCCCAAGTTCGATTCCAGCCAAGGGCACGTACTTCGGTTGCAGGCTCAATCCCCGGCCCCTAGTTGGGGTGGGTGCAGGAGGCAACTGATGTGTGTCTCTCACATTGATGTCTCTGTCTCTGTCTCTCCCTCTTCCCTCTCTCCCTTTCTCCATCTCTCCCTCTCTACCCCCTTCCACTCTCTCTGAAAAGCAACGGAAAAAATATCCTCAGGTGAGGATTTAAAAAAAAAAGTTAAAAATTATCTTATGTTTCTATATCTACTTAACTTTTTTTTTACCCTTACCTGAGGATCTTTCTTTAAAATTGATTTTAGAGAGAGAGAGGAAAGGGGAGAGAGAGAGGGAGAGAAACATCGATTGGTTGCCTCCGGTACGCACCCTGACCAGGGATCAAACCCAACCCTGGGTATATGACCTGACAAGGAATTGAACTTGCAGCCTTTCAGTGTATGGGATGATGCTCCAGCCAGCTGAGCCACTCCGGCCAGGGCTATCTACTTAACTTTTGAACTCATGTTACACAGTTACAGTTACTGTTTTAATATCCTTGTCTAATAAATATGACAACTGTGCAAGTTCTGGGTCAGTTTCAATTGGTTGATTATTCTCCTTAATATGAGTCATATTTTCCTGCTTCTTTGTATGCCTCAAAATCTTTGATTGGATGCCAGATATAAATTTCACCTTGATGAGTGTTGTATATTTTAGTATTCCTATAAATGTTCTTGAACTTTGTTCTGTAGTGCACTTAAGGTTAACCTCTGAAAGTTAAGCTGCTAAAAACAATTCAACCGTTGCTTTTAAGGTTTGCTAGATAGGAGCAGAGCTGTACTTGCTTCAGGGTTAATTGTGCCCCACTACTGAGGCAAGCCCCTTTTGTGTACTCTACCAAGTGCTCCACGAAATATGAGGTGTTCCAGTCTAGCTGGTGGGTACAGGTACTATTCCCAGCTCTGTGTGAGTGTTGGGTACCTTTGCCTCTAATACATTTGGATGGTTCTTTCCCTGGCTTTGCGTAGTCACATGCATGTGCTGACCAGTATACTTGAAGGGGCCCCTCTGCAGGTCTCCAGAGTTTGTGCCCTGCAGGTCTCCCAGCTCCAGTATTCTCTCATGCAAACTCTACCTTCCTTGGTTTCCTACCCCCAGCTCCATTTCCTCAACTCATTGAGTCCTCTGGGCTCTGCCTGTGTTCCCCCTCCCCACATCACAGTGGGAACTCCCTCAGACAGTAAGCTAGATCAGTTGTAGGGCTCTCCTTATTTGCTTCCTGTTTCTCAGGGATCACTGCTCTTCATTGCCTGATAACTGGTCTTCTGAAACTGTTGTTTCACATATTTGACTGTTCTTTGGTTTGCTTTAGGTAGGGCAGATCTTGTCCTTGTTACTACATCTTAGCCAGAAGCAGAATGTTTTTCAATTGCTGAATGAATCTGCCGATCTCTATGGGAATATTCTTTAAGACCTTATATGAATGTGTATACCTTAGGAAGCTCCCAGATCCCTCCCTAGCTCTGTAGCTAGTTGGTTATTCATGATCTGGTGACATGCTGGTGCCTTGGCAGAGTTCTTTACCCAGCTGATGGCTCCCCAGCTACATGGTGAGCTGGTGTGGTGCAGCTGGCCTCATTTGTTTCCCCTAGTCAGTGCCTGGCATAGAGTCTGGCAGCTATTGCTGAGTTAATGAGAGTTGGAGGGCAGAAGTCTTTGTTAGAGAGATGAGTGGAGGTTGCTAAATGGACATACAAGACTGCCCAGGACTCTTATCTGAGCATTTTACCGTTGCCCTAGCTAGTGGCTCCAAAGTGGGAGGAGAGTTCTCCTTTTCTCCCTCCTGCTGCTCCTGTACTGCTGGTTGCTCCTAGACCACTTCTTACTAGCTGCGTGCCATTGGGCATTATGCTGAACCATTCTGTGCCTCAGTTGGGCCTCAGTTGGTCATTGTTAAGTGGCGGTAATAACCTTTGTCCTGCCTATCTCACAGAACTGTTATAATGTGTGCAACTGTGCTTTGCCATAGTAGAATCTTCCATAAAGCCATCATTATTTTCTTTTTCTTTTTTTAATCCTCACCCAAGGATATTTTTTCCATTGCTTTTCAGAGAGAGTGGGAGAGAGAGAGAGAGAGAGAGAAACATCGGTGTGAGAGAGACATATCGATTGGTTGCCTCCCAAATGCACCCTGATTGGGGCCAGGGATCCAGCCTGCAACTGAGGTACGTGCCCTTGGCTGAAATCGAACCTGGGGCACCCTTCAGTCCGAGGGCCGACGCTCTAACCACTGAGCAAAACTGGCTAGGGCATCATCATTTTCTTGGATATTATTCTTATCAAACAAGCAAAAATGTTAAAATGTTTATATTATATTTCCTCAGTGGGTGGCCACCAGAATGTTTTTACTTATAATTCACATGGCAAGCAGCAGGTTTTGCTTGAAGCTATGTATTTGTCCACTTATTTATTTGGCATCATTAATCTAGTACCTCCTTGAGACCTTCTTCATGACCTAGAGAATGGTGGGGGCCCTCTGGTAGTTTAATAGGAAGGATAGCCTTTTTCTCTGTAGGGGAAAATTTCATATTTGAGGAGAACTGTAATTCTTTGGGGTTCATTTATTTGGAAGTCAAATATGACTGTGAACATGCTGGCATGCTTTAATTGCAGAGGAAAGTGGTCACATATGGTCAGGGGAGAAGCCTGCCCCTGCTCTCCAGATGGGGGCTGTGTACATGAGTGAAGAGGAGCCCTCACATGGCCCAATGGGCCCGGACATGTCAGCAGAAGAGGCCGATGCAGTGCTGGGGCTGGACACCGAAGGCGACCACATGGTGATGCTGTCTGTGATTCCTGGGGAAGCTGAAGACAAACTGAGCTCAGAGCCTAGTGGTGGTACCTGTGAGGCTGGAGGGAACGAAGTCTCTGGGTACGACCTTCGGGAGAGCCTCTTTTCTCTGGACAGCGCTGGAGCCAACATCCCAGATAGAGAAGAGGAGGATTACACGGAGCCAGAAGCAGTGGAAGCTGACCCGGCCCCCACAGAGGACTCCAATCACACCGACAGCCAGAAATCTCCCAAGGTCAACTGCGAGGAGAGAAATGTCACCGGGCTAGAAAATTTCACCCTAAAAATTTTAAATATGTCACAGGTAATAAAAAATGACTTAGTACTTTTCTTCTTTTCAGCACATCAGTTTTTCGATATAAGACTCTATCATAAACTTTCAAATGAAGGATGGTAATCTTTTTTTTTTTTTTAATATATCTTTATTGATTTCAGAGAGAGGAAGGGAGAGGGAGAGAGAGAGACAGAAACATCAATGAGAGAGTCACTGATCAGCTGCCTCCTGCACGCCCCCGACTGGGGCTTGAGCCCGCAACCTGGGCATGTGCCCTGACCGGGAATCAAACCTTGATCTCCTGGATCCTAGGCCGACGCTTAACCGCTGAGCCACGCCGAGCCAGGCGAGGATGGTAATCTTCATCATATTGTAAGTAGGATAGTGTTCAGTGGCTGCATCATGAGAATGGATATAACTAGTGTCCATTATGCTTTTTTGGCAACTTCAACCTAGTCATCCTTGGGGTAGTCTCACCGCCAAGCTTCATGATAAAAATCCCAGTGGACATCAGAATCATAACAGAAGCCAGTTAAAAAAAACTGAATTATAAAAAAAAATCTGAGTGACTAAAATCGTAATTTAGCAGTGTTTAGATTAGTAATGCCCCTGGGAAGTATGTTATACTGAGGAAAAGTTTTTTCATCCAAAGAGTGTGAATCCAGTTTTTACTCTTGAGTGACTGATGCAACAATTGTCCTAAACCCAGCCATGCTCTTCCAGCTAGTTGGGTAAATAGTGATTCCAAAGAAAATACCCGGATAAAGACTGATAGCTTTCTGTAGGATAGTTATGTCAGATAGCAGCATGAATGCAGAGAAGTCGGATCTCTGAAAGCTGTGACTGCTTTTTTTTTTTATCCTCACCTGAGGCTAAGTTTATTGATTTTAGAGAGAGAGGCAGAGAGAGAGAGGAATCGATGTGAGAGAAAAACATCAACCAGTTGCCCCATGCGCACCCCGCACGGGAATTGAACCCAAAGCCTTTTTGGTGTATGGGATGACGCTCCAACCAACTGAGCCACCCAGCCAGGCTTGTGATTGCTTTTTTAAAATGAGGGCATGTATGGTGTGTTGAGCACATGTAGCCCCCCCACAAGTTCAGGGTCAGCGCTGGCCTCACACCGTCCCTCAGTGCCTGGTAAACACCATGCCTCAGCTCTGCGGAACTTGTCTCACAGGTGTCACACACATGACCAGGATAGAGCAGTTTAAGCAGTCTGAGGTAGGGTGGTGGCAGGGATGGTGGTGCACTTTTGACCTGAACTAACCTTTGGTTAGTTGAACTAAATACATTGATACAACTGCTTAGTGCAGACTGGGATCTACTGAGATGATAGTTTGGGCCTGAGATCACAATGCTTTAATAATACCATTAGATTGTGTGAGATGTCCAATTCAAAGGTTGGGACAGTGGCCTGTACCCTCTGAGTACCTAGTATTTGAATGGATAAATTATGAAAAATATCAAAATTGCTCTACAGTAATATTAAATAGCTCAGAGGAAAACTTATAACTTGTCATTTGATAGTACTTTTCTGCTGACTGATGGATGTATGTGGTTCAAAATCCAAAAGTTTTTAAGGGGATACACTGGTCTTCTTCCTCCCCCACCCTCCCCTCCTTGTCCTTTTTCTTGGGTATCCTTCCAGAAAAGTGTACATTTACTGCTGACTTTAACACTTGTTTCTTTTACCGCAGGACCTTATGGATTTTCTAAACCCCAACGGTAGTGACTGCACGCTAGTCCTGTTTTATACCCCTTGGTGCCGATTTTCTGCCAGTTTGGCCCCTCATTTTAATTCTTTGCCCCGGGCATTTCCAGCTCTTCATTTTTTGGCCCTGGATGCATCTCAGCATAGCAGGTATCTTCCCTCGGTTGGGTTTCCATCTCACCCTTGGAGATGACGTGGCAGTTGTTGGAGGTGTTAATTAGTTAAGTGAAAAGCAGAGGAGGCAGGTTGTGAGCCTTGCAAAGGGATTGAAGGAAGGGAAAGGCAAGTGCAAGTGAGTAGTGAGGAATGTTGACTGAGGATGCTGATGGCTCACTTTATAGAGGCCCCTTTTGAGGAAGGAGGACTCTTCTTTATGTGGTGGCAGGGGAGCAGCTGGAGGACTTTCTAGGATCCTGGCCAGAACGAATTAGCAAAATCACATCACAAGTAGGATCTTCCTTTGTGACTTTCATCTGCAGTTTAGGTCCCCATCCCTAGCAGCCTAACTCTCAGCATCCCCATTCTGTCTACTTAGGATTTCTCTTTTCTTTCTTTCCTTCTTTCTTACATTTGTTTATGCATGAAGATGCCTTAGTAGACATTCAGTAAGTCAATTTAATGAATTAATTTAGCCCTTTAAAATGACTTTTATCCTTGTTTTAGATTTGTATATTGTTCAGTGGGCTTTTGTCTTTTTTAAGTGTTCAATAAGTTACTGAGAACTCTGTTGAGATAGTATACATTTCCCCTAAATATTGTGAATGTGCCTGGGTTATAAACTGTGTGCACCCCTCATCCTCTAAATCAGATGCTCCTTAACAGGTCACAACAAAGTTTTGTGTGTGAACGAATTTGGAAAGGTTGGACGATCGTCAGGTTGGTGGTAAAAATGAAGTTGAATAAAACTTGATTAATTTGTGCTCTAATGATTTTTGGTGTGAGAAAGGTAACTGCCAGTGTTTACCTGAAACTGAAACTGTTTATTAAGAAAGACATTGCCCAACAAATTAGTAATTCTCACAGGGCTTCATGGAAATATCTGAGTGGCCTGGCTTAAGAGAACAGATTGATGGAAAGGACAGTCCAGGTTAACGTCCAGCTTTGAGTGGGCCCTCCACTGCGTCCAGGCCGGCAGAGCTGGCTCCAGCACCTGTTCTCTTTGGTTTTGGGTCTGGTACTGTGACCCCCACCCCCAACCCCCATTTCCTTCAGGCTTTTATCTGCTTTGTTCCTTCATCTCTATGCATCCTTATCAGTGTCTGGTATGGAACCTTAATTATGGGGAATAAAGGATACTTGTTCTTATTATATGGCTGGTGTGGGACATGAGCTTGTCTCATATGTTAATATTTAAGTTACAGCATGTTTATAAAAGAAAAATCCTGATTATCCAGTATTACTAATGGGGGAAACTGAAGCTTAAAGAGGTTTAGTAATCTGCAGGTTACACAGATTACTTGGTTCAGTAGCAGAACTGAGGCTTGAACCCAGAGTGTTTTGATTTGGAGCTCATACCACTGCTCTGTATTATATAAAGGTGAAACAAAACCTCACAGGTCATATTACTTCTCAATCATCCTGCCCTAATTGTGAACTTCCTGGTGTGTTTGTTAGATCATAGATTTCTTTGTGCCAACTTACCAAATTAATTGCTTACCATAAGTTGAATCTTTTATGAGGGATGGAGGTGAGCATCCTGGAGAGTTTGAAATGTCTTCTGTCAAATAAATTGACACAGTGTGCTTTGTCCACGAGGTAGAATTTTTTGATCTGGCAGTTAGGAATTTACATAGTGAATAATTATGTCATGTGTAGTTCCATATTGTAATAGAAAGCACCTCAGCAGAACAGAAATGCCTTCAACCATGACCCATAAGGAAGGAGATCAGAAACAACTATAAGTTTGGAGTTTGAATATCAGAAACTTCCACACAAAACCGATCTTGTCTCATTTATTGCCATCCATTCTCATATGGTAATTGTGTGAGAAAGCCCACTGTTAATTCAGGTTTTCTGACCTTTCCTTGTAGCCTGTCTACCAGGTTTGGCACTGTAGCTGTTCCAAACATCTTGTTATTTCAAGGAGCTAAACCAATGGCTAGATTTAATCATACAGACCGAACATTGGAAACACTGAAAATCTTCATTTTTAACCAGACAGGTATGTAGAAGTAATGCACTGTAGAAGATGACATTTTATTGCTGGGGATATATGTGCCTTCTGTGGGTTCTGATCTGCTATTTAAGTGTGAAGGATTTAAGATTGGTATGAGATGTAAAACTTCTCTTCTAATGAACTGTTAGGCACCTGTTAAATGTCTCCCAATCAGTAACAAGCATGACATGAATAGGTGATTTTAAAATGATTAAAGATACTTTAAAAAAAAAAAAAAAGACAGCTTTGAGATAGAATTCACATACCATACACCTGGAGATACTAATTTTTAAATCCATTTTTCATTTGAGTATAAAATTTACATACCATGCAAAATACTCCAGAAAGATCTGTAGAGGGTGTGTTTTCTATCTGATTTGAAACAGTTGATTTCTCTTGCAGGTATAGAAGCCAAGAAAAATGTGGTGGTAACTCAAGCCGACCAAATAGGCCCTCTTCCCAGCACTTTGATGAAAAGCGTGGACTGGTTGCTTGTATTTTCCTTATTCTTCCTAGTTAGTTTTATTATGTATGCTACCATTCGAACTGAGAGCATTCGGTGGCTAATTCCAGGCCAAGAGCAGGAACATGCGGAGTAGGGATGGACTGAAAGAAGTTGGAAAGAGGAATCTCAATCCTTCATTCAGAAATTAGTACTGCAATTTCATACATTTTCTCCAGTGAAGAGTTGACTTACAACTTCGAAGAATCATGTGTTCGTTGAATTGTTGAATGTGTAAAAAAAATTATAAACTGGTGTTTTAACTAGTATTGCAATAAGCAAATGGAAAAATACTCAGAATTCACCATTCTTGTTTTTACTGCTTGAACATAATCCAGTATTTTAAGGGAGAATCCAGTTTGAAATGTGAAGATGTATTTTGGTGGAAAAATGAGTAGAGTGACAATCTGCTTACTATATAGGAGGCAGAATAGGACTTTCAGATTAGTTTTAGAAAACTCTTGATTCCTTAAATGTCTAGAAGGTTGTTTTTTTGTTCATTTGCAGTTTCTCTCTCAGACTTTAAGCAAGAAAGTGTTATGGGAAAAATAAACTAGAATTGATGTGTGACCTTGTAAGTAGCAACTGATGGGAAAATAAAACGAGTCAAATATCCTGTTTTTTTGTGATCTCTAATTTCACTAAAAGAATTTGAAATGGTTTAAGAAGTTTTTTCTGGGTAAGGCAGATGTTAGGAGAAAGTATATGTTATCATAACTGAAGCTTTTTAGTATCAGTTCTGTGCTAAAGCATAACTTTAGTCATAGTTATCTAACCAGCATGTATTAATTGAACCTTAAAATGTTAGCACTGTGTTAGGTTTAGTGAGGGCCAAAAGAAATATAAAACACTGTTCTTGCCCACAAGTTTATTCTAGTCTAGTTTTAGGATACATGTAGAAAACAGATAACATGTAATTTATACAAACTTTTTGAAAAACTATTTCTAAACGATCTCTTAAATTCAGGTATGACAGCTGATCACATGATGATAAATTACTTTTATACTGATTGTTTCTTCTATTTTAGAGGATTAATTTCATAAGGCACCCTAAATTCTATGGAAATAGAACCTTAGATGAATCTTCTTAGTGTTATATTGGATAGCTTAAAACTTTATCTTCATGTGGACAGCTATGGCTGGGGTAGTCACCAGTAGGAGGGGGCTGTGGCTCAGAATAGTACCATTATTATGTCCACTTTATCTAAATCCCTCACATGTATCTTCTGAGTGCCTACTGTGTGCCGCGCCTGTGGTACTTTCAGCCAGCACTGCCAGCCGGGTTTTCCAGATTATTTTATCTAGGCAAATACAGATGAGCCAGCTTGCCCAGGGCAACACAAAGCACAACTTAAGATTCGAACCTAGGGCGCCCAGACCTGCAGAACCCCGACCTGAATCACTACGGTTCACTGCACCCTCC